CTCCTCCTCCTCCTTCGCCTCCTCCACTTCCTCCCTCTCCTCCTCATGTTCCTCCTCCTCCTCGGCCTTTGGCTTGCTCTCCTCCACCTCATCCTCATTTCACCCTCATCGCCGCCCCGGTCGTTCTCCTCCTGCGCCTCTCCCTCCTCCTGGCAGGGGGCGCTCGCGAAGATTTTCCTCGGCGCCCTCGCCGCTACGCCTGGCAGGGGCGCGTTCTCCGACGGCGAAATCGCGCTGCCGTCGGGGACAGCCCCGCGGGCCAGGCCGTCGGGACAACCCCGCGAACCGCTGGCGCGCGAGACCAAGCCGTCGGGACAACCCCGCGGGTTCCGAGCGGGGCGCCGCCGCGCTCAAGCGGGGGGCAGCACGAAGCCCAGCTCTGCCGCGAGCTGCTCCGCCTCTGCCCTGGAGCTCTCCGTCGGACGTCGAACTCCAGGAGTGCCTTCCGCACGGATGCCGGCGGCCCTCGCTGAAGAAACTCTCGCGGCGGCGGCCGCAGGATCAGCATGTTCCGCATGCACGTGGCGTGGGAGAACATGACGTAGAGATGCAGCTGCCATTGCTCGTCCGACATGCCCGTGCGACCAATGTCCTCGCCCCTCACGCAGTCGATGGTGACGCCCTTGCGCAGCGTCTGGCCCTGCGACAGCGTGGAGGTGAGGTACGACGCGTGCTCGGATTAAAAAGTGAGCGACGGGGCCCATAGGGAGAGAGCTCCCGCCTGAGATTTCCTCGCAATTCACTCACAGGCGAGGCTCCCGCCTGATACTTCCTCCATCTATTGAGGCCTCAGGCGCCGAAGATTGATAACAGCTAGATAACAGTTAGAGGAAGCCAATGACCCGCCTCGGATTAAAAACCTGAAAGGCGGGCCCCATAGGGAGGGGGCTCCCGCCTAAGACTTCCTCGCAATTCCCTCACAGACGAGGCTCCCGCCTGATACTTCCTCCATTTTCAAGCCTAAGGGGCCCAAAAGTGACGACTGTTACAAGAGGCCGATGACCCTCTCTGACTAAAAACATGAGCGGTGGGCCCATAGAGAGGGGGGGGCGCCTAAGACTTCCTCGCAATTCACTCACGGACAAGGCTCCCGCCTGAGACTTCCTCCATGTTCAAGCCTAAGGGGCCCAAAAGTGACGACAGCCACAAGAGGCTGACGACCCGCCTCGGATTAAAAACATGAGCGACGGGCCCCACGGGGAGGGGGTTCCCGCCTGAGACATAATCGCAATCCACTCACAGACGAGGCACCCGCCTGATACTTCCTCCATGTTCAAGCATCAGGTGCCCAAAAGTGGCAACAGTTACAGGAGGCCGATAGACCGCTCGGATTCAAAATATGAGCGGCGGGCCCCAGAGGGAGGGGGCTCCCGCCTGAGACTTCCTCGCAATTCACCCACAGACGAGGCTACGTTGACGATGGTGTCGTGATGCTGATGATGATGATGATGATGATGATAATCATCATCATGATGATCATGATGATCATGATGATCATGATGATCATGATGATCATGATGATGATGATGATGATGATGATGATGATGACGATCATGATGATCGTGATGATGATGATGATGACGATGATGATTGGTGAGTACTAGTTGTGAGTGAGTGGGTGAGCTGGAGAATGATAGTGTGTGCGAGTGTGTAAGTGATGATGATGCGGTGATGATGATGTGAGCGTTGTGAGTGTGTGAGTGTGAGATTGTGTGAGTGGGATGAGACGGGGGTCCTTCCATCATGTCTGTTCCTGCGCGGAGTGTCCAGAGAAAACAAGAACCCCACTTTGGATGTGGGGAAACATCACCTACACAGATTAAGCGAAATGAAACAATGGTGATCAGAAGCACTTCAAACATGAAATGCTGGAGGTGCACACCAGCAACACAACAAGCAAACTGCAAACATCAAATCCACACAAAAAACAACCACGCAAACGCAGCTGGTACATGCATGGTGGAATGGGATTGGGACTGGCGAAGACAAACACAAGCGTAGGCAAAAACGTAGATAAACATAAACACCTACCTATACGACCACCCTTCGGGTGATAAGGAGGTTGTGCGGGGGAAAAGGGGGGGAACCAACATCTGACTCAATCGATCTCACTATCGATCTCATTCAACGGGACACCACGGGACACCACGGGACACTTGTCGATCTCACTATCGATCTCACCCAGCGGGACACCACGGGACACCTCGGGACACCACGGGACACCACGGGACACGTGTCGATCTCACTATCGATCTCACTATCGATCTCACTCAACGGGACACCACGGGACACCACGGGCCACCATGGGACACCACGGGACACCGCGGGACACCTCTCGATCTCACTATGTGTCTCACCATCGATCTCACTATCGATGTAACTCAGCGGGAAACCACGGGAAACCACGGGACACCACATCGATCTCAGCATCGATCTCACTATCGATCTCACTCAACGGGACACCACGGGCCACCACGGGACACTACGGGACATCTGTGAATCTCACCATCGATCTCACTATCGATCCCACTCAACGGGACACCACGGGACACCACGGAACACCTCGGAGCACCACATCGATCTCAGTATCGATCTCAGTATCGATCTCAGTATCGATCTCACTATCGATCTCACTCAGCGGGACACCACGGGACACCACGGGACACCACGGGACACCACGGGACACCACGGGACACCACAGGACACTTGTCGATCTCACTATCGATCTCACTCAACGGGACACCACGGGCCACCACGGGACACCACGGGGCAACGCGGGACACCTCTTGATCTCACTATGTGTCTCACTATCGATCTCACTATCGATCTCACTCAGCGGGTCACCATAGGACACCACGGGACACCTCGGGAGACCATATCAAACTCACTATCGATCGCACGATCGATCTCACTATCGATCTCACTCAACGGGACACCACGGGACACCTCGGGACACCTGTCGATCTCACTATCGATCTCACTATCGATCTCACTCAGCGGGACACCAAGGGACACCACGGGACACCACGGGACACCACATCGATCTCACCATCGATCTCACTCAACGGGACACCACGGGACACCACGGGCCACCACGGGACACCTCGGGACACCGCGGGACACCTCTCGATCTCACTATGTGTCGCACTATCGACATCACTATCGATCTCACTATCGATCCCACTCAGCTGGACACCACGGGACAATACGGGACACCATATCGATCTCAGCATCGATCTCACTATCGATCTCACTCAACGGGACACCTCGGGACACCACGGGCCACCACGGGACACCACGGGACACCACGGGACACCTGTCGATCTCACCATCGATCTCACTATCGATCTCACTCAACGGGACAACACGGGACACCTCGGGATACCTCGGAGCACCACATCGATTTCAGTATCGATCTCAGTATCGATATCACTATCGATCTCACTATCGATCTCACTCAGCGGGACACCACGGGCCACCGCGGAACACTACGGGACACCACGAGACACTTGTCGGATCTCTCTATCGATCTCACCATCGATCTCACTCAACGGGACACCACGGGACACCACGGGACACCACGGGACTCCACGGGACAACGCGGGACACCTATCGATCTCACTATGTGTCTCACTATCGATCTCACTGTCGATCTCACTCAGCAGGACACCATAGGACACCACGGGACACCTCGGGACACCACATCGATCTCACTATCAATTTCACTATCGATCTCACTATCGATCTCACTCAACGGGACACCACGGGACACCTCGGGACACCTGTCGATCTCACTATCGATCTCACTCAGCGGGACACCACGGGACACCACGGGACACCTCGGGGCACCACATCGATCTCAGCATCGATCCCACTATCGATCCCACTCAACGGGACCCCACTATCTTCTTACCCCACACCCGGGACACCCGGGACACCGCCCAGCCCAACTGGGACACCTCCCGGCCACCGGCGGACGGGAAACGGACTTTCGCTCCTACTGACACCGGGGACACCCGGGACACCGCCCGGCCCAACTGGGACACCTCCTGGCCACCGGCGGACGGGGAACGG